CACAATTTAAATGTCCAACCATAGCAGCAACAAACCTAGCTAAGGACACCATCATGAAGAAGTCAAAGGACATGGAGAATCATGGCCACTGCTCATTTCCCATCCTCAAAAGATAACAAAACAATCCATCTGAGTGACAAAAATATTGCCACCCTCCCCCCATAATGATGCTCACATGTCTACTTTGGTGTTGCAGCACCATTGAATTTTCTTCAATTTACCTGAACCTCCATCTTGAAGTACAAGAAAATATCAAGCTCCCTCATCATCCTTTGGCAGAAAATGGCACATCCGGCCTGGGAGCCCCATAGCAAAGACTCACCACGCGGGTCAGTGAGGGGGCCTCTCATGTTCAGCTTCAGTGGGTCCGCCTCTTTGCTGGAGGCTCTGTCTGCTGTAAGACCCTTGCCAGTTCACCCCTACCCTGGCACAGCTGATCAGAGGTGGACCACCCACTGAAAGCTGGCAAACACATTCAACGGATGACTTCAACAATGGCAAAGGAGGACTAACATGGCAAGGAGGGTTCTTGAATAACTGAAGGATGGGTGAAAGACCCAGGGGATAACCACTTCACCACCGGGGCTCTTTTACTCTCTCTCTTTTCTTTTTTGACACCACTTGGGCTCTTATGCCAAAAGGGAAAGAACCAACAAAAGTACTAAGGACAATAATCATAACTACCTTTCTCTGACTGCCATGGGACCCATTCGTTGAGCCATTCAGCAAAGAGAGAGCTACTATTATTCCAATTTATGCTGCAGCTAACACAGGTTATGCAGAATGTAATGACTGTAAAACTCAAGAGTTTCTAACAAACTCACGCCACGTGGCTAATACTGGGTTGTGGAACATACTAAGTCTCATGCCAAAAGCAATGTTGGGCACACTCCAAGAGATCATTAGATGCTTCCCAACATGGCTGTTAACCACCTCTTAAATTCTCTCTGGCTGAATGTGGATGAGATGGAGGAGGCAGTGCAAAATGGGACCCTCCCCAGGGTTCACCAGTAACTCGAGATTCCGTGCTGTAGACAGGCTTTTGAACGTCGGACACTAAAGTTAGCCCAGAGGGCTAGTGAAGAGGGGAAAGGTGTACCATCACGGGGATAAAGCACCAAGAAGAAAGATCCCGGATTCCCGAGCCCAAACATTGTCACTATCAGTTACATCTAGGCTCCAGATAGTCTTCACCCAAAGGTGTGAAACAGAAATGAGAGCATCTGAAGAAACCTAAATTTGACTTTCACTGTTATTTAAAAAAAAAAAAAAATGAAATAAAGTGGATTCAGGAACTGGAAAAATACCACCAAAATATGGTAACACATTTTGTCGCTTCTGCTTGAATTTTCAACTTGAGGACAACCAGTTTGCTTTTTTTTTAATTTGCTTGCTTGCTTTTTGGTATCCACTTAGGTCCTATGGACTCAAGTATAATAGATTGAACAGTGGTTCTCAACCCTCCTAATACTGTGACTCTTTCATACAGTTCCTCATGTTGTGGGGACCCCCCGCCAACCATAAAATTCTTTTCATTGCTACTTCATCACTGTCATTTTGCTACTGCTATGAGTCGGGAGACCTCTGTGAAAGGGTCATTTCTCATGACCCACAGGTTGAGAACCACTGGATGGGAGGGTAGAGAGGAAGAAGAAACGTGCCCTTACCTGAGTGAACCACTCGCAGCACCTTTTCCCAAGGTCCAGATGGGAACATGTAGAGGAAGCAGGAGTAAAACCCAAGATCAGCTTCGGAAGCATTATAAAAGGCAAGGGTCATATCGTTGGGAGTCATGGTGGAATTTAAGAAGTAGAGTTTATTTTCATAGGGCTCTCTGATGAGGGCGCCATATGTAGGGTTGAAAATCGCCATGGACTCTTTCTTCACTGACTGGATCCGGAACCATTCCATTTGGGTTAAAGTGTCCGTCGACGGATACACACAATGGAGAGTCATGTTCTCTGCAAACTTCACAGTTGTATCCCACATGATCTCCTCACCTAGGGCTGGAATACACAACACCATGTTCATCCACGTAGCCTTGGGGAGCGAAACATCAAATCGATACTCTGCATTTTCTCAGACCCAGGAAGAGAGTCAATAGAGATGATCATACAAGTCTTAAGATTTCTGCCTTAGTGTGAGAAGATTTCTACCACTGAAAATCCTAACTTTATATTTTTCTGGACAAGTGAGAAATTGCCTAAGCCAATTAAAGAGCATAGTACATTCTGAACAGGTCACAACTATAAGACCAGGAAAAGAGTGACAGGTTTAAATGAAGATGTAGGATTCTCTCCATTTATTTATTTTACCTTTGTACACACGAAGAATAACAAAAAGGAAAGTTCGGTAATCCATCTCTGGAGGCCTTTGGAGATCGCTCTGGTCTCTAAAACAGATAATTTTTGTGATGTTACACACAGCAATGCTTCCTTCCACGCAGAGTGTATCAGCAGTGGTTTCTTTTTCTGCAGAAAGAGCACAGGAAAAAGGTTACAGCTTCAAAGGCAGGCTGGCTTTCGGATAAGGATGGGTAGATTGAAATGACTTCCCTCTCGGGGAAATAGCTTGTTTCCACGCTTTTTATTTCCGATGAAGATTCACGTATTCCACAACTGTGCGCAAAGTCCACGCTAAGTGATGAGAAGACAGAAAGATCGCTCTATAAATATCGTGAGAGAAGTAGATATCTCTCGCCAATACGGAACTCCCAGTTAGTGGGGTACGGAGGGAGACAGAGACTAGAGCAAAGAGGTGAAAGAGCATCACGTGTTAAGGTGACCAGTCCCTGGAGATGATGACCATGCCTGGTGAAACAGAGGCTCAGCTAAAAGAGAAAGTCCCTCCAGGAGGGCTGGTACGTGGGCGGCAGCAAGGAGCCCAGCATAACCACCACGCAGAGGATGGCACTCCTGCTGTACACAGAGCTGCTTCGAGTTGGCACTAACTCACTGGCACCTTGCAACCACCACAGAGGTTGGGGGGCCGGGGGGGCTGTGAGGACCATGCGGGCAGCACGTGGGCACAGGGAATAGGGTGGAGCATTGGTGTTCTTTTAAACAGGAAGCCAAGGAAGTCTTGTGGTTCTTGGGGTGGGGCAGGGGGGCTTCATCCAGAACTGAGCGCTCACAGGGTGAGAAAATGGCTTCCTTTCGCCTTCCTTTCACGCCCACCCCCTTGTTGACCTCAGATATCCACTTTGGTGGCCACGTACTGGCCTTTGGAGGCCCTCTAGATACAAAACCAGGATTATAAAAGATATACACAAGCCCACCTTCCGCGACTGGGTTTGTCTGTTTGTCTGCTTGTTTGTTTTTTCTATCTTTTTAGTTTGAAATAATCATAGGCTCACAGGAAGTTGCAAAGATAATACCGAGAGGATCTGTGTGGCCTTCACCCAGGTTCTCCCAGTGGCCAGATCTCACATGATTTCATACAATATAAAAATGTAGTTGGTTTTAAGGTCCTACACTGCTTCTCTTGCTCTCTTGTCACCAGATAGTTTGACAGTCTTGCTGGGAACACATTAGCATGATACTGTCAGACTCCATGTGCTCTTCCATAACAAGAGGGGTTGTATGCATGCATAGAGCCAATGGGCAGAGTGTCAGCAGGAAAGGTAGATAAAAGCTGGGGAAGAGCAAGCAGCATTCACTAAAGACAGGTTTGACTGGTGTCCACATGAACTTCCCATGAGAGTCGATCTATTGGTATTGGTAGGTGTTCACTACTCAACATCAAAGTGAGGCTGCAGTAGGTGGTCAGGTGCAGAGGCAAGCTCTCCCTCTAGATGGCGAGCAGGTGAACAAACTCAGATACCAGGTAGAAGTTCTTCAAGGGTGTTGTCACCTTTGAAGGGAGCAGGAGGGGTGCCAAAAATAAGTGGAGACTGGGTGACAGATCAGGAGAAGTTGTTTTTGCACATGTAGACTTTCTGGCTCCAAGACAAGGAAAGTTACTGGTGTTAGATACTGGAACCACAGGACCCGATTTGAAATCTTAGGAAGGCAACTCCTCATTCCTAACATAAGCTTGACTTTGTTGGGAAATGTCACTCCTTCCCAAATACCACAAAGATATTAGGATTCCTATAAACCGCTCCCCTAACTCAAAAACAAAAACAAAAAAACTCAAACTCACTGTCATGGAGCTGACGCCGACTCACAGTGGCCATATAGCGTCAGGAAGAACTGCCCCGGCGAGTTTCCGGACTGTACCTCTTTTCGTGGACAGAAAGCCCCATCTTGTTCCTGCGGGGTGGCTAGCAGTTTCAAACTGCTGTTCTGTCCCTCAGCAGTTCAGCATGCCGCCGCTCCACCTCCAGGGCTCCACCGACTCTTAAGTTGAAAGAGCCGGGGGGCGGGGGAAGCTAGCTGACTTGGTTGTTGTGACAGAAATGCCACTAGTGGGTGGTGGGAGCAAACCAAATTCTACTTTCTCACAGTTCTGGAGACTAGAAGTCTGGATTCAGGGTGCCAACCCCTGGGGAAGGCTTTCTTTTGTGTCAGTTCTGGGGGAAGGTCCTTGTCTCTCGGAGCTTCTGCTCCTGGCTGACCTTTGTGTGGCATGGCATCACGCTTCCTGCATCTCTGCCTGTTTGTCCTGATCTGCTTTTTATATATTGTAAGAGACGGACTCAGGACACACCCTCAGTGTCTCATTCACACATTTCGGACAGGGGCCACATTTCAGCCCATGACACAATCCACCGGCTAAGTTGGCGCTGTCATCTTTTTATCCCACGCCAGAAAGACAAGTTTTCCTTCCCTCTATTCACTTCTCTTCTTGTCCCCAATCTCTCGAATCCCATGGGAGCAATAAAAAATGTTGTCCCAGTGACTTCAGGTGGCCATCAGAAAAGGAAGTGGCCTGAAAATAGAGACGGTTCATGGAAGATGGCAGAAAAGGGAGAGAAAAAGGAAAAACCACGATCACTCGGCCCTCTGATGGCATCAACGAGCTACTGGATGGACTGACACTAGAGTATGAGATTACGTGTAAGGTAGCACATTTTCTTGTTCTATAAAGCAGTCAGTCCCTGATGCTTGGGCCCATGTACACCCTTGCTGGTTCGATCATTCTGGCTGCTAAATGAAAACTAGATTGACAAGGAACAAGAAGAGGAGCTGGAAATTGTTAGGACACTGTTATCATGATGTGAGCAAGGGATGATTTTTGTCTTGGGCGAAGATGGTCGCCATGCGGTGTAAGAGAAAGGAACTGGTTTCCAGGCCATTGTCAACCATCCTTGCCAGAAGTGTCAGTAATGGTTCTCCTGGGCACCAGGCTTCCCAGTCCCCATCGGTCAGGGAAAGTGAGTGCATACACATGGTTTCAGGAGCGGGAAATTTGTAAGAGCAACTACCCCAAAGGGTGAGGGAAGAACTAACCAGCCAGAGAGGTGGAGGGAGGTGACTCAGAGAGAGCAGTGGAGATGAACATGTCTGCCCTCGGCGCTAGAAGGTCCAGGACTGTCCATGGTGGAGGTGGCCTGGCTGAAAATAAACACCTCAAGAAGCCTTGCATCTCGACCAGTAAAAGGTCAAATAATCCGACCTTTCAGTGGTCAAAAGAGGTGAGGAGACATGTCTCCAGAGAAGATATACAGATGGTAATCTACACAACATCATGAGTTAGCAGAGACACACAAAGCTTTGTCCTAGGAGGAAAATACTGCTACTACTGTAAGAGATGACAATTTAGACACAGGGGAAAATGAAATATAGAAAACAGTATGATATAGAGTGATATAGACATGTGTTTGTTTTTATCATTATGTGTCCAATGCACCACCACTCGTGTGCCGGTTTAATGAACCATGATGGCTCATGTGTTGCTGTGACCCCAAAGGCTACATCACTGATGTTTTCAATCCCAGCAGGGTCAGCCAAAGGGAACAGAAGAGCTTCCACACTAAGAACAGACTACGAAGAAGGAACAGGCAGTCCACTTCACAGGAACTCGCCGCTGGAAACCCTACAGAGATCATTAAAACACTGTGAGCTGCTAAAAAACTAAGAATGAACAGAAACAGAATCTTGTCAGAGATAGGGCCAGCAGATTTGCCCCTCAGATTGGAAAGTGCTCAAAATCTTCCTATGGCAAGCTCTGAGCTGCCTTAACCAGGTAGAGTCAACCGTAGTGCCTTGGGTGGAGCAAAGCTGTGGGAGCAAAGCCTGCGGGACCGTCAGTTGCTGATTGGGCTGGACCCCAAAGAAGAAGAAACAGCCATGAACATGAATAAATACTCAGAACTTGGAATGTATGACATATGAGTCGAGGAAACTTGGAAATTCTAAAAATTTAAATGGAATGCCTAAACATCGATATCCTAGGTGTTAGTCAATGGAAATGGACTGGAATTGGCCATTTTGAATCCGAAAATAACACGGTTTACTATGTCGGGAATGGCATTCATTCAGAGTTGGAAAAATGTTTCAAGGTCTGTCTTGAAGGGCAATGCTGTCGGTGATAGGAGGACGTCTATCCTCATACAAGGCTAATCCGATCAGTACAACTAATGCACAAATGTAGGCACCAACCACAAACACTAGTAATGAAGAAGTTGAAGAACTTTACCAATGCTTTCAGTCAGAAATTGATCAAAGACGTGGTCAAGATGCATTGATAATTATTGGTGATTGGAATGTAAACGTTGGAAACAAAGAAGGAGGACCAGTAGTTAGAAAATATGGACTTGGTGATAGAAATGATAAAATTTTTGCAAGACCAACAGCTTCATAGCAAATCCCTTTTAGCAACACAAACAGGGCAACAATGTGTGTCTTCTCCAGGCGGACTACACAGAAATCACATTGGCCACACCTGTGGGAAGAGGTGATGGGGGAAAGTGTAATGTCAGCAGCTAAAACCAGGCCAGCGGACAACTGTGGAACAGATCATCAATTTCTCATTTATAAGTTCAGGTTGAAGTTCAAGAAAATTAAAGCAGATCTACAAAAGCCAAAATGTATCTTTGAGTATATCCCACCGAAATTTGAGAACATCTCAATAAGAGATTTGATACGTTAGACTATTAACAGAAGAGCTGACAAGCTGTGGAATGACAACAACAACACCCTACATGAAGAAAGCAAAGGGTCATCCAAAAGACAGGAAAGGAAAAAAGATCAAAGTGGATGTCAGAAGAGACATGGAAACGTGCTCTTGATCATAGTGTAGCTAAGACAAATGAAAGAAATGATGAAATCAAAGAGCTGAACAGAGAATTTCAAGGACATCTTGAGAAGTAAAATATTGTATTGAAATGTGCAAATACAGATTTTTATTTTTTTTTAAAAAAGGAAGAATAAGCTCAGCATACCTGAAACTGAAATAACTCAAGAAAAAAAAAATGCAAGCCTCAAGCAGCAGTTTTGAAAGATTCAATGGACAAAATAT